CACATTCTTTACAACTTAAGATTTTTTTTTGCAAATTTCAATTATGATTAATCCACTGTGTTGTAATAGTTAAATAATCATGTCATTTAACAATAAGACCCATGCTCAAGTTATAGACACTATACAATCTAATATGCTAAACAAACAACGAAGATATTGACAATGTTTACCTTGATATACAAAAGCATCAGATTTAACAATATTTTTTGCAAAACCTCTAAATTAGGATGATAAGTTTGTTGAATATATTTAATAAAATCGAGAATTTCAGGAAAACTATAAGGCAAACAACAAGTAGAACCCATTTTAGCTAAATTTTCACGATCTCTTTCCTTATTATATTTATGTTGTGTTAGTGGACCACTGGAGTTAAACAGATCTAATGTTCGATTAGACAGATCTAATGTTCGTTGAACCATGTTAGAATCCCCTACCGATTCATTAACACTAATGCCAAAATCATTAAATGAAATTGGCACACAAGATAACAAATGTCTATTGAAGCCCCCCTGCCACCTTGATCCCGACCTTATTTATGTTTAAAAGGTTACTTACGGTTATTACAAATAGCAAAATTGTATTCTTTATCGAAAGTCATAAATTACCACACAATAAAAGTTTTAGGGTGTTGATTTCACCTTCTCCCTTGTGGGAGGTATAAGGGGTGGATGTCCACAATTTTGCTCCGTTAAATTTGTAATTTTATTTGGAACTTCTGTCATCAGATTTGTAGGTGTATCTTCTAATTCCTGTTCTCCGGAATCAAATTCTACTTGTTCACCTGAATTTTTATCAAGATTAGGATTTATATTACCATAACTTCATTCTAAACTTTCATGATTGAGTTGAACATTTGAATAAATATCATATGAAGTATCATCAACATAAGTAGAATCATTTGTATTAAATCTAACTCTAGACATTGATTGAGAAGAAGTACCACCACATTTACTCTTATTTTTTTCCTTACTACTTTTCTCTTACCAAAATTAAATAATTTACTAATGGGACTTTGTTCTTTCTTTTTTCCTTTACCGGTACCTTTTATGCTAAAAATCATATTTAATTATATGTAAAGTGTAATATAAAAATAATAATAAAATAAAAATTAAATATAAAAAATAAAATATAAATATTATGAAACGAATGTACCGAACGTCTGCATTAATAGCAGGGTTAAACCGATTCTTGAAGCTTGTAGTTTATTGTAACTTGTAATTTCAAAGTCCAATAGTTGATAGAAAATCTGAGAATCTATATATTATGATATAATTATGAAAATTTAAAATTGGAATATATGTCTTATAATAATATGAGACTCAAATGGAATAAGTAATTAAGATTGAGAGGATATAGAATATAGAGGAGAGAATAGATGATTTTGTAAGAAATAATAAGCGATAGAGGGGTATTTATAATATTAAAAATGGGTTAAAGTATATTTATGATAACTTGAGAGTTTAAATTAAAGTGTTAAAAGTAAGGGGATGGAAGAGGGTGTTGGGGAAGTGAAAAAGTGATATGAATCCGTTGGGGGTGCGCTAGTCGTTTCCTCAATGGTTGGAAATGGATACAATTTAGACAATTTAAAATAAAAATAAAAATAAAATAAAAAGGTATCTAGCTAAAGCAGCCGATTCAGCCGAGCCGGGTCGACTGTGATCAAAGGTTGAATCGGCTCTTGAGCGGTCCCCTAACCCCAAGTACCCCCAACACGAGAAAACCCAAGGGACCGGATCCGACGAGATGGTTCTCGAGCCGGTCGCGGGCCGACCCAACCCCCTTAAAAGCACTAAGCATTGTCGCGCCAGTGGCACATGTCTCACTATAGTGGGACAGTGTCCATATTCTTTTTCGCGGATTTTGCCCTTCTCCATTAACGACGGTTTGAGTCATTACAATAGATATATATTTACCACCCGTTCGTCCCAAACGACTAAGGCTTGGTCATCACATGCTTTCACTTCGGGACTCTTCCCGTTAGTGAAACGACTCTTACACAAAATGATGAAAGTTTGCGATCTTTAAATATTTGGAACCCTAAAAGGGTAGACACACACTAGAACGAAGGATTAAATGCACTATACAAAAAAAGTAATAGGTTTGCATGCTAGGGTAACTTATCAAGTAACATGTGAAGTTCAAATTCCAATCCATTTTTTTCTCACATTCTACCACTATAGCAGGAGATCCCGCTAAAGTTGGAGATCAAGCGCAGAAAAGGGGAAACAGAATTGTTTTCCTCATTTTCCTTTTTACCATTTTTCAAACTTTCTCTCAAAACTCTCCGATCTTTCTTATCTGAATCGTCGTAATTAGGTATGTTTTCTCAATTTTCTCGCTCTGAACATTTAATTGTCACCATTATACTGATTGCATGCCCACATCAAATCAACTGGTAGCGATTTTAGGTAGTAATTTTAGAATTTGAACTAGCTTGCTAGATGTATTAGAAAACTGTAGCATGGTTACTTCCATTAAGTCCCCAACGTTTATACAACGTCCTGGGCATATGAATTTTGCCAAAAACATGGGTAAATCGATAAAAAAGGGGGCGGGGAAATTTGAAAAGTCATCTTAACATAAATTCGGATATAGACACAATTTAGGGGTTATTTGATTGAAATACTTGCTAATTTTTCTTATAGTTAATATACTCTGATCTGCTGAAAAAACTAATAAAACGAGGATTTTGGGACGAAACAATGTAATCTTTGCGTCAAGAGTTCGTCCTAAATGAAGGTTGTTGTAGCGGCCTGCATCATCTCGTTGTAGTGGCCTGCATCATCCCGCTATAGCAGCCTGCATCATCCCGCTGTAGCGGGATGATGGTCGCTGCATTGGGATGACACATACCAGTAGTTGGCTCCCTTTTCTCTAAATTTTTCTCTTTTTTGTTTATACTTCCCTACCTTGTCTATACTTTCCCAACTCATCTTATTTCTCACAAGTTCTCTTAAATGGCCAGTCCAACTGAAAAATAATGCACCATTCGTCTGGATCCCGGATGCTGCTAGTCGGGAGAGCCATCACGATTATTGCACCATCGGATTCATCTGCGGGAGGACGATGGCACATCATAAGGTGAAGGAGAAAGCTTTCGCCTTCTACGCCTCATTGGTCGGGTTCGGGTGGCTTTTGTTGATTGAGGCTCCCACAAGTGCCCTGTCTACCTGGGTGAGGGAGTTCTATGCTATCCTCCTTACTGTATGTTGAGATGATCCTTATCAAATTATTCATATTCAGGGAGTTGACGTTCCCTCGAATGCTACTTCCACCAATGAGTGGCTGGAAGTGTTGGAGGTTCAAACCTGGTGTACGAGAAAAGCTTAGGTTGATGGATCTAGAATGGCTGCGGGACACTGTTGTGGATCCTGCAAAATGGGATCAGGTTTACTAGGTTACAACAGAGGGCATTAGTCTTCCTAAATGGTCACCGGATGTTAAGAGGTGGCTACACTTGGTATTTAGGAGGATTCAACCGTCGAGTAACCCCACAGACGTAACTTATCCTCAGGCTCTGGTGGTGGCGTGCGCTATACAGGGCATTCAACTGAATGTGGGGCAGAGATTATCTCGGAGTGGAAGATGTTCTATCGAGGTAACAAGAAAGTCTTCTTCCTTCTCGGTCTTAATACTTCCATATGAAAGCGGGCAGGGGTGCCCTCGTTTGATGCTGACGAGGTATTGCCTATGGAATCCCTTATTCACCATCTATTAGTTTGAGCAGGTTCCGTGTCTAAGATTAAGAGGAGGACGAGCAGGGCTAGTAGTAGGAGGACACCTACGGATTCGAACGGTGAGGATCCTCTCTTAGGTGGACGGGTCGACATAGACCTGGAGACGGTACGGAAGAAGATAGGGAGTGCGTATGCTGACTTCACTTAGGTTCCCCTAGCACCGCCATCATGGTGGAGTTGCTCTACCGCTAGCTGCGCCAAGAGATAATGTAGGGCATGGAGAGGGATCATTTGATGGCTCGGATTGGAAGACTATTAAGGCCATCTTCACTTGCATGACCTTGGGAAAAGAGATTCCCCCACCAGAACCGAGGGACTTCTCATAGTTTGCGATGTTGAATGAGGCTTGGGACGACTTGGAGCGCCCCTAGGAAATGGACTCTGACATGCACACCACCCAACCTGAGGATTGGAATATCTTTTGTTTTTTACTTATGGATATTTTCTCTTTGAATAACTGGTTTTATTTTTACTTTTTGATTGTAATAAGTTTTTATAGCACAGAGATGCTCATTTTTGGCTGTCTATGTAGCCCATTTTAAACTTCTTAATATATTTTTAGTTACTTCTATTGTTGAACGCTGGTTTTGGAGTCGCAGGGATTGATTCAGATAAATTTTGGGTTGTTATTTGAAAATAGGGAAGGACATAAAATTTTTGGCTAAGTTCTGTCTCTCTCTATTGCACTGTAGCGACATCGCGCCAACAGGGAAAATCCCATTGCAGCGGCTCAGACAGGACCACAACCTAGCTAAAGATTTTCTAGATACATTGTCACTATAAAAGATTTCTCCGACCTTGTTTTTCACTATCCACTACACCATTTTAGGCCTACGTCCACCCAGGTAAAGTTTAGCCTAAACTAGCAAAAAATATGACCTTTGATAAAAGGCCATACTTTTTTACTTTTAGCAACACTTTTTGAGGGGTGGCCTAAAAAAGCGAAACCTTTAACATTAAACAACACTTTTGATGTGTTTCCAAAGCAGAAAAACTTAAAAAGTGGCCAAAGAGGTAAAAAGGCTACATTTTTGAGCATTTTATTAGCAACATTTTCATTTGATTATACTACACTTAAAAGTGTGACTTTTGCATTGTTATTGGTTACACTTTAAAATTGTAGCCTTTTATATCTCACCTAAAATAACACTTATAAAGTATAACTTTTCTTATGTACACATAAAATTTATAAACAATAAGCCACACTTATGAAGTGTGGCAAATTTAGATTTTTTGTATAGTTATATAAAGCACAAATAATTTATAAATAATTCAAAATTATATATTTTGAATTAAATAAACTTCAACATGTCCCATACATATAGAAATACATATAGAAATCAATTACTTCAAGATCTCTAGTAGCAATACATTCCACAAAACCAAATGTATTCAAACAACATTTATGATAATTGCACAAAAACTCTTTATCGTTCTATACGATAAATCGAGTGTACTTTTGTCCTCTATATATCAAAATTTAATCAACAACATCTTCCTGCACATTTAAAATTAATTAAAAGTTAGAGAATCATGTATTTCATATGCTCACTATATTGTTCAATACCCAGCCACTTCCCAATCCCTTCACAGTTAAATGATAACACTAAACATGTACAAGAACTATAAAATCTTGGAGATAACAATAGGGCATGTATTCAAAGTAATTCACAGTAGAAAAATATGATTGATTAAATAAATTAGGGAGAAAACAATAGGCAAAGAGTAAAATTATCCCAAACTGCATGTATAAAGCAGACCCATTATGAATGATAAAATCTTGAAGAAAACAACATGCAAACATACAAATGAATAGAATACATATGATCAAATACTCTTAGAAACTATTGACTCCAACTCTTTTTTGAGAAGAAAATAAAAGCCGGAACAGAAATGAATAACAACTCAACTCAGTCTACCTTGAGAAAATTGGCAAGATAACACAGATCTTACAAAAAAAAATTAATCAGTAAGACTGGCCTTACAACCTCTGAAAAAGTACCTTCCCCAAAATCTTTCAATTAACTGAGAGTGAACCCTCCAAGCTTTTCTATCAATGTAGTGAGCATATCTACTACCATAACATTTTATATTCTTACAAAGGCTCCAAATTGAAAAGTCGAGATGACCAAATATTCTATGCTTTCCAATTGATTAGAACGATTGACTCATCCACATATGCAACAGTAGGTAATAAACTAGTTGAGCTGCAAACTTATGTGAAAAATATTACTAATGTCCAAGCTTCAGTGTTAATAAGAAATTATCAAATGCAGGTGTCCTCTGTTTAATATCAAAATTAATAATTTTAATACTCACAAACATATCCAACCAATAATGGAAAACTTAACAAGCATGTGCTAAGAACAAATTTTGGGTTTTAGGAGATTTAAACACAGGTGAGGCCAGTGAATATGAGCTTCAAAGATATCATAATAATATGACACAAGTAAATCGTATATTGAGAGTGTCTTCAAGGATCAGTGATAAAATTGCACATTCTCATCAGATTTAATGACATTTGGAGACTTTTAATTTTCTTATAAAACTAGCCAACAAAATTGATTGATATTGATCACACCAAGTATCAAAGGAACTTATAGTAGCATAAATCAGTTTTCAGTAAAACAGCAAACTACTCAATTATATTACACCTTTCAACATGCACCAATACCAGCTTTATATAGGGAAAGAGATTCAATGAAATATGTCCAAAAAGGTCAGTAGTACTCATCAAAGATTATTAAGCTCAGTAAAGACACTTCCTGCATTTACATAAGAAAAAATAGTGCACAAAGATGGGTTTTTTTAAAAAAAAAAAAAAATCGAGATGCACACAATAAAGGCCAATCAGTTCAAACCTCATCTCAAGGCACTGCTACTGTTTTGTGTCAAGAATATACTTCAAGATTAAAAAAATCACCTTTGATCTAAATCAACATATTTTCACAAGGTTCGAATTATTTAGAGGAAAATTCAAAATATCACAGTAGAAGCGGACAAAAGCAAAAGAATACAACAAAACGAAGAAACAAAGAGTTCTTGGCTGAAAGTTAATTCAGTTCTTTAGGTTTGACAGTTCTGAATTCTAAAGTCAGAAGTATGGCCTTATGCAACAGTTTTGTTGCAAAACGAGCTTAGAAAACATATAAATTAAAACGTAAAGGGAGATCAAATAGAAAAGGTTCATATAGAAAAATGAGCAAAAAATTTCTGTGGTGATAATTATCATGAATCCTCATGATTTCTAATTGACACAAGATTGTTACCTGAAGTTATTACCCCTTCTAAATGCCATTTCGTGCATCAGCTCATAGACAACTAGATTGTGTTCTATTCCTTCCATGCACATTCCAACACCAACTTGCCAAAGCGTATCCAGAAAGCAAAAAAAATAGTAATGGACATTCGACAAATTCAAGGAAATGGATTAAAAACTCAAATAAAATCATAGTATGCAACAGTTTTAAGAGGATATAGAATCATAATTCATAAAAAGCTTAAGGTTCTAAATGTATATAACAAAATATTTTTAATTAAATGGTAGGAGATGTTACCATTGTTGAGTTCTCACTTGTGCGGGCATCAAAACGACTAGAAGTCACTACATCTAACACTCCATACATTTCAATGTTGCCCACAAAGTCGTGCAGCATACAACTTTATGTTTTGTTAGACTAACATTAGAAAAATAGTTGATTGATATGCAAGCTTGATGATACGTGAAATACCATATTCAAGAACCAAATTATACAGAGTTGTTTCTACACAGAACCCTCTGATTACCAGATATAAAGAGTGCCATAGAATTGAGAGGATGATTTCCATATTGGTTAAACATCAGCAAATAAATCAAGAACTATCATCTTCCCATGTGGAACAGAATGTAAAATTGATTGTTTGAAAGAAAAAGATTAAAATAAAGTAAGAACAACAGTCTGCTAATTATCAGAGTCTGATAGTGAAAATATGTTCTTCTCAAGGGTGCGATGTTTTGTTGTTAAAAGATTGATTTTACAAATATGGAAGGAATAGGGAGATCAGATTTTACTCTAAACTACGAATTTTAGGGAATCAAAAAATAAAGTGCCACATGAGTAACATGATCAATAACTTTTCCTGAAGACGTTAGTAATAACCACATAAATGACGGAAAACCTACAATACCTTTAGATGCTCAAGAAGTGTCATTTAGTACTATCCAAGTACACTGTATCACTCAACACAAAAGCTCCCCATGGAATCTATATTTGTAATGAATTCATGAAGATGACGACACTATTCAAGATAAATGATATTATTACATAACTTAAAAGGAGATAAAGAAAAGTAAGAACCACACACTCGCATGTACTTCAAATCAGAGATCCTTTTTTCTAATTTTATCCTGGTTCATCTCACTCAGTTTAAGTGAATATATATATATATATATATATATATATATATATATATA